TTGACTTCTATGAGAAGTAGACAGCAGTGTCTACTAGCTATATATCAACTAAACAGGATGAGTCCCACCCTGTAACTTGTGTCAAAGTCCATTCATTTCAGGAGAAAAGTTAGCACCCACATTTGGCTTTGGACTTAATGTTTACATATAACATGAAGAATTACACATAACTTCGTGTTTTGATTTAAAAAACCCCACAACTATTCACTGTGAAGGTTTTGTGACAGAAATATTTTAAAGTTTTAAAAATGGAAAAATACAGCACAGAAAGTAATGTGATAGAAAAGTGTAATGCTAGACAAGCTATGTAACAGCAATTATTGAATAACAGGGCTTTCCAGAACTTCACAGTATATATTCCTTTTTCTATTTTCAAATCTATTTTCTGGTTTTTAATTTTCCTTTTCAGAGTTCTTGGAATTAATACCTGGGGGGTTAGAAATGGACACTGAACCAACATGTGCTTTCCATTTCTGGTCTTTCTGTCTTTGAAGCAGTTATCATAAAGGAATATATGCGATCATGCTGAGGAGCTCAACATTTGCAAAATAATCCATCTTCTACAGTATCATTCTGAAATGTTAGTATCTTAACATTTTATCTGTTCTGCAGTAGGAATCCAGTTGGGGATCAGATTTCTATTTCATAGGCAGATAAGGTTCAGTTACTGTATTCTTACAAACCATATTTATGAAGCGTGAAAAGTTCCTATTACAGATAAAAATGAAAAGTACATATGCAACATCAATAAAAATTAAGGGGTCCAATTGAATTTATATTAGTATGCTTTTGCCAAGAAGTTAGCGTCCTGGAGTCAGCAAAGTGCTGAAGTATGAGGTTCACTTTAAGCACATGATGAAGTATTTAAATGAATTAAAGCAAACTACTAACTTGCTTGAGAGGTTACTATCATAAAATTAATCTTAACTGGGTGAAAAATCAGAATAACTATACTGTTTTACATGCTCCTTATTTTTATTTTCTATATTAGCGTGTGGGAATATTGGTCCAAAATACTAAACTAAATTTTATTATTCATATTCCAAGATTAATGGATTTAGACAATTAGGTAACAATATAAAAATATGAAGAGTAATTTCTGTACTTTTCTGGTGTAGTTTATTCGATATACTCTACTATAGTCAACCTATTTTTTAATTTGTAAATCAAGATTCATAGATAGCTCTCTGAAACTGTGGGTCATAGACAGATAAGCTTGTTTCAAGAGAACAACTCACTAAAATCAGACAGAATTTCAAAGTAAAAAATTTTCAATATTTTTCAAAGGATGTATCCACAAACATACATAACCTGAGCAAAGCACATTTCCTATTGAAGAAATGATTGAACAGAAAGTTGTATATTCTGGAATGTAAACATTTTACAAACTAATTTTAGCTCTGCTCAAGTCTTAGTGAGGAAGCTAAAAAAAAAATTTTGAAATAGCTAGATGATTCATTTAGAAAGATTAAAAGGAATTTCGTTTTCAATCCAAGTCAATGCTAGAAAACATCTTCAGCTTTGAAAAAAATATAATTGTACCAAAAAAATCAAGCAAAAAAATTTGCTTGGATAAAAAGGTACTTTTTCAAATTCTGTGTTTCACCAGATATTTAAAAGTTACTTGCATGCTAACCTGAATATATGCCTACATGATTTCTTTATTTGTCCTGTCTGCCAACAACCACTTAAAAAAAACACAACCCAAATGAAATAAAAAAGAAAGCAGATATTTGCACACCTCTAATATATAAAGCTCTAAGTCCCTAATTTGATTGTCTTAAGCGGAAGACGTGAAAAACCTTTGCAACTAACAGCAGCTTTGCTTAAGGAACTGTTATTAATCCTGTGTTCAGGATTAGGATTCTTCTGAAATTTCTTTATACATGAAATTTGATTTTTATTGATGAAATTTGATTATATGAAGTATTAACATTCTGCCAAATACTTAATTATTTATTACAATTTTTTAAGCTGTCATTTGGTGTATTTAAAACCGATAATTGTATTTTTAGTTTTGATTATAAAATAAGAAAAAAATATTTTAATCCTTTTTAGAATCATGCCTACCAAAAGCAATGCTACCCAAAGTCAGAAACATTTAGAAGCAGGTCTGTAAATCTGGCTGTCAGAAATACTGGCCTTTAGTGTCCTATTGTGATAAGTAGAAAGGTTTTTGTTAAGCAGTATTTACAGAATAAGCTTTGGTAACATTATATGAAAGTCCTATTTCAGACCATGGTTTGTGGTTGGTTGATCAAGATGCATTAATCCTCCAAGAAATGCTTATAATGCTGGATGAGGAAAATATCAATAAATAAATTACTGTATCAGAAGGCAATATGCTTTCACTACTTCCCTATGATGCTGTAAAGGGAATAAAAGAAAAAAAAAAAGAAAAAAGAGGGTCTATGACATTTCTGTAGCAGAAGGCAGACCGACAATTTAGTGGGAGGGAGCAGAAGCAGAGCAGGAAACTCTTGTTATGTAAACATGGCTCTAAATTCTTGAATATGAGAGAATTAAATTATTTTTCTGGGTAAACAGAAAGGGATGTTTAAAAAAAAAAAAAGGTGAAAGGGAACCTTATTACATCTTTTGTCAGAAAATCTTTCTATGTTTCCCATTGCACAATAATAAACACACATTTCCTTGTAAAGTTGGGAGGCATTTCAAGACTCTTCATAGTAGAAAATGTGAAAAATCAGTACTGTGGGCTAATAATAGCTAAGATTTGCAGCAAGCACAAATGCAAGGTAATTAAAATGAGACAGATGGAGGGCTGCAGGTAGCAGAGACTTGACCTGAAAAAGGACTTGGTCCTGAAGCTGAAAAGGTCAAGTAAAAAAAAAAAAATGCATTTTACTGTCCCAAATTTCAGTCCACATATACTAAGTATGAAGAAACAGAATAAATTTACAAGATCCAAAACACCTTTTTTTTTTTTTTTAATAAAGGATCACAAGTCCCTGTCACCCCAGAAACCGTCTCCCACTCTACAAGTACCTTCCCTTTAGTGCTAGACACAACTTTCTTCAGATACTCTAGGAAGTAAAACTGAAGGTTTCAGTTTCTTGACAGCGAAGAAAAAGCACTAAAACACCAAAAACAAAAAGCAAAAAAGAAAGAGAGTGATAGCTTTCCCAGAGGTAAAAAAAATGAAAACCATTGTACACATCAACCAGGGGTATCAAGTCACCCTAATGAGACCTGCATTTGAGCAGTTTATTATACCAGCTGCGGTACAGGAATTGTTTAGGGATTAAATTACCAAATTCTCTATATTTATATATGAATCAAACCTTCTACTAGCTGCCCATAAATCTACAAATTACACTGCCAGTAATATGATAATTTGCCGTTAGAAAAATCAAAATCACTTGCATAGTTAAAGAGATTCTTTTACAGTTAAAAATCACAGGATACTAATTTACTTCCATTTTCTCAACTTCCAGTTAGACAGTTTTATAATATCTCTTATTATGATCTTAAAATCAAATATACGATTCTTTCCAACATAAAGTTAAGGCAAAGAGGAGTCAAACTTATATTAGAAATTTTTAGAAATAAATTTTATGTACCAAATAGGAAAGCAATACTTAAAGTAATTACAGTATGGCAAGGTTAAGTAGGACCATAGTAACTAACTCAGCAAAGAGCAATGCTGAATGTAAGCTTTTCATCAATGTGGAGCACTAGAGAGTTCTGTGTTGCCACTGGCAAAAACTGCTGAAAGAAGGGCTGACTAATTCTGTTAAACAGGTGAGATTTAGTAACGTTAAAAATGAGCAACTTGTTTAAACTTAAAAAACAAAACCATTTTTTAAGTTACACACTTCCCTATCCTTACATTTGTTTAAAGTCTGTTTGCTTTTGTCTGCTATTGATAACTCTGGTATGCTACTAGTGACTTAAAATAAGACACAGCTCATTGTCTAATACTTTCAAAATTGTTCTTTCTGCAGCCTTTTCAGAATATAATTCAAACATACTATAAATTTGGGTTGGAAATTACATGTTCCCCCTCCATCAGTCAGAACTTACTCCCATAACATATTCTAGAGAGAAAAAGAATAAAGTTAAGACTGCTCGAGCAACACTTAAAACATTTGTTAAACTGGACCACAACTAGATATACGTATGATGAATATTTTCTATATATATCAATAACTTCATTTTCCGCCAAATAAAAAGCTGCAAGCTTTCTTTTTATTGACCCTTCTAGGATAGTGCACAATCAAGTCATGATCCCAAGTAAGACTGAACAGTTTGCATTAAATACATACCATCACACAAAAATACATGAAAAAAATCTATTAAAACTCAATTTATTTAATGCATCCCTCCTCCAAATGTTAAAGGAACATCCACTTTCTCTCTCTTTCTCTCTCTTTTTTAAACTCTATAGTTTACTGGAAAAAATTTAACCTACGAAATAAATTTTACCAAAAATATTCTGCTCTTCATCTCCCATTTATTGCAACAAACTAAATACCATTTTAAGTGTTGCATGAATTTTTCATCATGCAAATTAATATTATTATTAATATTATAATATGAAACATGAACTCTAATTCTGAAATAAAATAATGCAACTTTCTTTCCAGTTTACATGAGCTAGAGATAGACATAATTCTTTCTGGGTCCAGGTGGATACCTTAGTTATATTGCCTGCATAGCCCACAATTTTCATGTTGCAATGTCTGTTTTAACTAATTAATTCAAGTATTTTCCAAATTATATAGCATGATCTTAAAACCTATACAGTCTATTTATTATACAGTTTGATAATCTTGCTTTTGTCTGTAAGGAATTCTTCTTTTACTTTATATCTTTTTTTTTTTAATCTGCTGGTAAAGTTAGATGCTAGCATTTTCTGCATTCTTAAACTTGTATATTCTATAGAATGATCCCTTTATTACATTTTATGAAACAGATACAGACAAAATACTGCCCAATACCACTCTTCGGCCCTTCTCAAAAAGAAAAGATGACAGTACCTGGTGGGCTTGCAACAGGTGCTCAGCAAACTGACGTACTTCTGACAGTAGAAGCGATATTAAAGAATTTCTTAGTATGTTGCTCCTTCCTAGCAAAACCAGAGCGTTTGATACAGCATGCAGTGCCTGAAACTAAAGAGAAGAAATAGTATATTTAACGTTTCCAAATACGTCTCCATCTTTTTCACCCCAAATAGTTACCTTAAATAGAAATGGGATTTACATATTAAAATTTTAAAGAAAAAAGTCAAATTCAAAATGCTAAAGGGTTAAAACTCTATTAATTACATACATATGAGATATATGAGAAACCCGCATCCATTACCTAGAAACTTTGCTTTCTCAAAAGGTTAGTACAGGAAACCATAATCTGAATAAACTCCTCCCGAAGTGTGAGTGCCCCAGGAGGCAGCTGTCATCATGCCCCTGACTCCCAGGCACATACAGCAGTTCTGTGCGTCACAGGTAGACAAATGAACAAATGGATTCTTTGAAATTCAAATGCATGAGCAAGCTAAAAGCTATACTGGAGTTATCAGGGATAAACTTGATTAAATGCTAACTGATAGAAGATACACTGTATTTTCAAATTCAAACAATTGACTTTCGTATTGTTTAATCAGCTGTAACCAAGGCTTTTCTCTTGAACCACAGGAGGACCGATGTGAACTTACACGAGAATTATATTAGTATTTTTTTTTTTGCCACAGTCTTTTCTATTGAAAAAAAACCACCCTGTTTTCTTTGTTCCCTGAAATGGAAATGTATAGCTATTATGTAATGAAACATACTGCTTTACAAAGTAAACACAACATTATTTCATAATAGGAGAAATTATCATTTCTATATATAAATGTACTGCAGTTCTTTCAAATAAAAAAGTAATATACATTAAATATGACTATAATTTATATTTTTATATAAATGTATACCCCTACAGCATTAATATTCAGTCTTGGTAGATGACTATTTTTGACTGACAAAAGGATACTCTGACCCAAATTTGTATGTCTAAGAATAACTACCATGTTTTAACCACTCAAAAGCAGACCACCGCATCCTATTAAGAATCTAGTTTATTCCTCTAGCCAGCACAGGCGTATGTACATACACACACACATATATAAAAAAATATGAATAAAAACACTTGCCCACCATTTACAAGTTTGGATAGGATGAATGCTCCTGAAAACCTTTTTGAAACACACAAAAGGCAAGAAGGCGATCTGGTAGTAGTCAGCGTGGATATACTAAGGGGAAACCATACTTAACCAACCTGATAGCCTTCTACAATGAGATGACTGGCTGAGTAGATGAGGGAAACGCAATGAGTATCATGCACCTTGACTTTACTGCGGTTTTCAACACTGTCTCCCATAAAATTGTTACTGACAAAATTTTGGGCTAGGTAAGCAGCCAGTGAGGTGGACTGAAAACTTCTGCTGTAAAAAACATTAATTAGGTAGCCACCCATTTACAGTTATTACTTGTTTGCCTGGTCAGTTAGTCAAACTGCCCTGCCAGTTGATGCAATGCTGATTTACCAGCCTCTTACAGCTGAGGAGTTTGATCAGCTTGGCTATCATCTGGCCAGTATGACACAATCTCCTATTCACAGTTATAACAATAAAACTTTAATAAAACTTTGCTGTTGTTCATCTCACTTCAGTGTGTAAACCCAAAACAAATACAAAAAGTATAAAAGATAGGACAACTCTTTATGTTCAGATTCAAATCTGCAGTCAGAGATAAAACAAAGTAAACTCCTCATATTAAAGAGAATTCATAAATTGTACACATACAGCTTTGAAAAATCTGTAAGATTAAAATAATTCATAAATGTATACACCAAAGATCCTACAAATATAAAATGTGAATGAAGGTGAGATAAAAATAGGTTTCTGAACAATTAAAATTATATGAAAGAATAGTGTAATGCATGCACCTGCCTGTACTTTGAGGATATATGAATTAAAATCAGACTTCCACATGCTGGAAATGTATACCCTTCCAAACAAAACAATGACTCCTCTTCCTAAAAATAATCTAGACATTTAAAGTTTTGAAAGATCTTCCATAGTATCTACTAACACTGTATGACAGAAACGACGTTTGCAACACCTGAATAGTTCTGCCTTGACAGCATCCACGTTCCGAAAGGGTACGACTGCTTCAAATCGTTGCCTGACATTGAAACAATGCTTAAAAATAGCATCCTTTCCATTAGTCCCCACTAATTTTTACTTATTTTTATAAATTAAGGATGGATACATATTTTATAGTTCTATATTTTCAGAGTGTAACATTGAGTACACTTGCTAATTTGCCTTTGGCAAGCAAGTGAACTAGAAAATACAGAGTACTGGGTTTTTTTTTCAAAATGTGACGCAGACAGGAGACCCTTGAAATCCTGTTTGCCGAGTTTCAGCACTCGCATGGATGTAAGAGATTCCTGTTCAAATTTATACTGTCTGAAGTCAGAACACTGAACTCTGCTTGGTGCAGATACTTTAATCTAAGTGAATCAATATTCATGCAAACACTCCGTCAGCAGCTTGCTGCTATTCTAGGGTTATGATCCCTCCTTCTTCCCCTTCACCTGACACTTCTCTTCCACCCCAGGTAACATGTTTGAGAAATTTGTTTCACGTCAACATGAAACAAAACTGAATACAAAATCTTTTGCACATTTCACATAGGAGAGTTCCTCTTTGCTTTATCAGCTACTCCTGCCCCATCTCTTCCCCAGCCTTTTGTGCCTCTTCACTGAGGAAAAGAAAAACTGATTTGTTGTTCCTGGGATCCACTATACTGGGCAGCTCTCAAGATATCACAGGCAGCCTTCCACAATCTTTTTCCGACCAGTGGTTGCAATGTAATAGCTTGAGTAGAGAAGGGTTAAAAAAAAATAATTAAAAAAACACTGGAATAATATATGACATTCTTAACCCAAGCAGAAGTAAAACAAGAACTCGCTGTAACTCAAATTTAAATTTACATAGTAAGACGCTTATGCTTATGGAAATCTACTTTGATGATGGTTTTTTAGTACCTGATGTCCTAATTTTCTTGACTAGTATGATTTAGTCATTATGTTCTGGAAGTCTCAGGTGTTCTATAAACTAAACCTGCAGCTATCACCAGGAGCAAAGAAAAAAAAGGCAAAACGGACACTGCTCTGCCCTTTGTAACTTGAATTCTCCATTCATGAATCACCCATTTTGCCCTTTTTTTTTTCTGGTAGCAAGATAGTGGAAATTAGAACATAATGATTCTGCAGATACCCTTTGAACAGATTACATCAAATAAAGCTTAATTAACTCTACCTTGAGCAGATTTTGGACAACAATTTAAAATGTTTCTGTACAAATAAAATTAATTTTGCCTAATCCTTTTCATGAATACTTCTACCCTACATTGAGTTCTACTATATAAGAATTGTGAAAAAATCTTACATTAAGATGAAAAAAACAGTTGTATGTAACATGTTTAACATCTTTACAAACTAAAGAAACTTCTTTAGTCATTAGTCAATATTCTGTAATTCTCACACAGGCAAAACTCATTGATTCAACAGTTCAGAGATAAAAATTACATAGTAGTTCAGCCTGCATTAGGGGCAACAAAGTAGTTTTTCAATGCTGCCTCTCCCAAAGAACATACTAAATGTATATATATACACACAAACATGATTATATTTGTTCTTTAAGCTCTCTTCTATTTGCTTACAAAAATTTTAGACACATAGTGAAACAAATGAAAAATTTTTTGTAGTTATTAATGCTAGCAGCCGAGATTTAACTAAAATAGGAACTTTCACAAAATTTCTGTATCCTTTCTTGTTTGCAAGAGTTACCATTTTCTAGTTGGAATTTTGCAGGACTAGCTAACAGGGGGTCTTCAAATTTAAAGCCTCAGCCTCTTCTAAGGGAAGTAAATCGGCATTTTCTAATGATGGCACTTAAGGTACTTGAGATATGGGTGTTGAAGCCACTAAAAATCTCACCTGCTAACTGATTTGTTAAAGAATATGGATTTAATATTGTATTTTGGAGGATTTCTCAGTATATTTTAAGGAAATAAGGAGACAACAAAGAATTAAGGTTAAAATGATGCTCACAGAATGTATATATTAAATGCATACAGCACAAATTTATAGCATATAAGCCATAAATCTGTAAATAGCAACAGAAGTAGACTGCGTGTTTCACAACAATATTCATGTATTGCTAATTAAACTCTGGAAACATTCAAACTGATAATAGTTCAACTAGTACGCAGTTTCATTAAAAATAAAAGCATATCTTCAGCTCTCAAATCTATCAAACATCAAAAAAGGAACAGAAATCTTTTAATCCCTTGGGCTTGCTTAATGGTATAGATTGAAATAAAACTTATGCTCTTCAGGGATTCACAGTTAAAAGTAGTCAGAAAATTAGATTGTAAAAAATATGATCAGAAACAAGAAAATAACGGAGCCTAGTTCACAGTTTGGGAGGTGCATCATCTCCTCCCAAACCACAGTTTCTGTTCTCTTTCCATATTCCTGAGGATGTGTGCAAGCTTTACACATAGGGAAGGATGTGTGGACTGTCTACCTGGCTGCTGCCAAAATGAATATATTATGTCAATGTTCTGTTGCCTCAAGCATACTAATTTGCTCACCCAGTCACCAATTTTAAGTGGAAGGTATTTTTGACCTTCCATTTCTCCTTTCAGGTAATTTCAAACTGGCTATCACTTTCAAAAGTTACTAATAGAGGAAAAGACTGAAAAGCAAAACAAAGAGCACACTCCTATGAGCCTTGTTTCCCCAGGAAACCAGGAAAAAAAAATCTTTACTTATGATTTATTTATTTAGAATTCATCTTTCAGAATGTATTAGACTTTTCTTTAGTAACAGTTATCTAAAACTTGTGAGTTTAATTCCTTCATGAGTTGCACGATTCACTATACCCTGCAACTATGAAAACTGCACCTCAGTTTCTGTTTCAATAGCTTACAACTTTCATGCCAAGTAACAGTCCCAAAGCGACTGGCATATTTGGCAACAGAGGAGTAAGGCAAGTAATTATACAAGTATTCTCAAACCATCAGGTGTTAAAAACAACACAGTCTTTTTGCCTTTGAGT